TGTTTTAGATCAAAAATACGATTTGCAGTGATTTTGTCGTTGGTAGATAGAATCGTTAAACTTGGAAAACGATTTATAAATGGGTAAGAACTTATAAAGAAATATTCAAGTTTCATTATAATACATCAATATTTGTTTGAAATCCACATGAGTCTACATCTATTAATAGGTAAATGAATGATAATAATCATTCGTTTAATTTCTAATGTTATTATAAGTCTCATCTAAAGTTAGGGGTCAAAAACACTAGCCGAATTAAAACTGAATTAAGCAATCAGATTCGCGTTGTTACGTGGAAATAGCAACCACATTTGTTAATTCAGTTTTAATTATTCTAGTGTGTTTGACCCCTTAGACATATTTTAAATCAACAAATTACATTTGACAGTGAAAATATCTTCAACATAGTTTCATTTGATTGATTCACCTACATATTTCTTTTTTATTAAAGTATCCCTTGTTAAAATAATTGATTATCAATGATTGATTCTCATTTAGACAATGTCTGTTAACCATAACTCTTCACATATATATATATATACGTCTATTCTAATCTCAGTCGGACACGTATTAACAATGAACTGTTTATTAAGTATGAGTATGTAATTATTTGACAATATCACTTATTTTTTTTATTGTTTTGTACATAAGAGAATGTCGAACTGGTCGATTTACCTGATGAGTTAATTTTAACTATTATGAATAAAATCAAACCTGAAGTATTATTGGTTTGCTCTATTATTACTGTTGGTAATAATCGTTTGGAACAAGTTGCACTTGATAAATGTCATTCAATTGATTTAACTTTTGATTGTTTTCAATCAGCACATGAATCACTTATTCAACGGTTATATTCGGATGTTATGTCTCGGATTAGCAATAATATTCAATCATTGATACTCAACATTGAACATCTTCCGAAAATGATCGGTTTTGCTGAAAAAGAGTGTAATGGAATTCTCCCAAATTTGACACATTTGAAAATAATGCTTGATAGAGAAAGTCGCGGAACAGGCACACCTCATGCATTAGGTAAATTCTTATTTTAAGTTATATTTAAATATCACTTTAGTTCATTTTCTAGTTAGAAAAAGGAAATTTTTTTCTTATTTGAGAATCGTTTTCGGTATTTTATGCAAAAGAAATCCATAGGGTAGTTCTCTATGGAGAATTGTTAGACAGTTGAAATGAATTATTGAAAAACGTTACCAAATTCTGTTACTTCTATTTTAGCATAGGAAAGTTTGTCTGAGAAAAATAATAGTTAAGAAAAATATGAAAAAGTCTTTTAGTGAAGTTAATATTATCAGAAATAAAAAGATTAGGTTGAAAAGAATTTTATATTGTAAGACATAGATATTTTTTGTTATTAGGGATCAATGTTTAGAATATTTTAGAAGCTAATCC